CACCCTCTGGGATCAGGAGGTTACCTCTTGTCTCTTGCTATGCACCCAATCGCTTTCAACATAAATTCTATTCTCCTCTTTGCACCATTGTCTCCCAACACTCCAAGGGTCTCCTTCTTCTTTTGGGAGATTCCAATGTTACCTTGGATTCCACATTGGATAGGCGCTATGCCCAGGGGACAGCCCCTTCTCACGACTTAGTGCTATAGGAACGTATGCGCTCTCTCTTGAGGACGGCGGGGCTGGCGGACGTCTGGAGGGAACTCCACCCAACTGAGCGTGACTTTACATTCTATTCCAACACTCGTGACAGTTTTTGTAGAATTGACCATATATTCATGTATGTCCAGCAGCTTCCTTTGGTCTGGCGGATAGCTATTCCCTCCTCGCCCTGGTCAGACCATGATCCTCTGGTACTCCTCCTGGCCCTTTCTAGGTCGGTACGGCGCCCCTTTCACTGGCGCAATAATGACTCTTTATTGACCACTCAGGTCACCTGCCAACACATAGAATCTTTCTTACGCACATACTTCGCGGAAAAAACTCAGGATCTGTTTCTTCGGCATTACCCCTGTGGGAGGCGCACAAAGCCACAGTGCGGGGTCAGGTTATACAGCTGGCAGTGGTTCGGGAGCGGGGGTGCCAACTTTTGGAGCTCTATTCTCTGTTGGCCTCTGCGGATGCTCGTTGGAAGTCATTCCCATCCACGGCCCATAAACGCGTTCGAGACACCCTGGCAGCAGAGTTGGACCTACTCTGGCCCTGCATTGGGCCAAACACAAACGGGCCCTGCATTGGGCCAAACACAAATTTTATTCCTGTGCTAATAAGCCTGGTCCAATGCTGGCCAGGAAACTCCGATTCTGTGGGGAAACCTCATAAACCGATCCGATTACGACTTCCCGTGGGTGGCTGTACTTCTAATCCCCAGCAGATTGTCTCACGTTTCGCGGACTATCTTTCGTGCCTTTACGCCAAATCAAATCCCTTCCCTGTGGCTCAGGCAGAGGCATTCTTTCAAGACCTCCAACTTCCTGGACTATCTGAGGCAGCGCAGAAGGCCCTCAATGCCGATGTCGCCGTACCGGAAGTGCTCCAAGCTATTAAATCTCTACGGTCTACAGCTGCCCCGGGTCCAGACGGCTTTTCCGGCCTCTATTATAAGAAATTTGCAACCCTGTTAGCACCCCTCTTGGCTGACTATTTTAATGAGTTACGACAGGGCTCATTGCCTTCTCCGGACGCACTTAGAGCTCATATTTCCATGATTCCTAAGACAACCGATGATGTTCAGGAACCGAAAGCCTTTCGGCCCATTTCTCTTCTTAATGAAGACCTGAAGATCTTGGGCAAGATTCTTAGCTTTCGTATCAATAAATACTTGCGTAGCCTGATCCACAGAGACCAAGTGGGTTTTTGTCCCTGGGAGACAGGCGGGTGATAATGTTCGTAGGGTTAACCATCTTATACATTTTCTACAATCGCAGAAAATACCGGGATTCTTACTGTCCTTAGACATATATAAAGCCTTTGATTCTCTATCCTGGGAATATCTGCGGTTTGTGCTGTCTCGCTGGGGTTTTGGGGACTCTATTCTTTCTTGGATTCAAGCCTTGTATTCTTCCCCTTCGGCTTCCGTTAAATACGCTGGGTATTTCTCAGATCCCTTTCCTATTTGGCGAGGTACGAGACAGGAATGCCCCCTGTCCCCGGCTCTTTGTCCTGGCGCTTGAGCCATTGGCTATGGCGCTCCGGACTGATTGTAATGTATCGGGGGTTCCATACGCGGGACAGGAGTTCGAGTTGAACCTTTTTGCAGACGATGCCCTCTGACTCTCACTAATCCCCTGACGACGCTTCCAAATTTGCAGCAGGTTCTTGAGCGCTTTTCTTTGATTTCGGGTCTCTGTATCAATTTGAATAAGACTGTCACGCTTAATATTACTTTGGCCTCAGATCTGGTTTCGCGCCTACAGTCCCACTTCCCTTATAAATGGGCCTCTTCTTCTCTTGAGTACCTAGGCATTCACTTGACCCCCACCTATGACTCACTGTTTGCTGCAAATTACTATCCATTGCTTCGCTATGTGTCCTCTCTTATGCATTCTTGGCAATTTCCGCACCTGTCATGGATAGGACGGATCAATTCAGTGAAAATGACCATCTTGCCAAAATTGTTATACTATTTTCGCACCCTCCCAGTGCAGGTTCCTCCTCATTTCCTTCGGTTGTTTCAGGCGAAGATTATGCGTTTTATCTGGGCCGATAAATGCCCCAGAGTTTCAGAACTACGCTTTTTGTCCATAGACTCCAGGGTGGCCTTGGGGTTCCCAATGTAACTAAAATATTATCAGGCGAGCCAGATCGCCCCGCTATCTATGTTGCATGCTTCCTCAGACATACCTCTCTGGGTCCTGCTGGAATTGCCTAATTGTGCCCCTACTGCGATTTCGCCGCTTCTATGGCTTCCCTCTGCCCTGCGCCCCACGGCACTGAGTCCGATCTTGCTCCATGGCTTACAAGTGTGGGACTCGGTACGTTACTCCAGTGGCCTAATGTCACCTTTCTTGCCTTTGCTCCCGATTACTAACAACCCCCTCTTTCCACCGGGTTTAGATCAACCAAGGGCGTTTTCTTGGTGGGTGGCCAACGGTTTTTCACAAGTACGACACTTTTTGACCTCTCAGTCCTTCCTCACCTGGAATTCTCTTCGGGAGTCACGGGATGTCCCTTTGGAGGAATTTTTTTGTTACCTTCAATTGCGGCATTGGCTGCTCTCATTGCGGGGCACTTCTGTTTTCCCCTACCAGAAATCTGCCTTTGAACTGCTTTGCCAACAGCATCCAGGCGCCCCGGGCCTTATCTCCTTTTTTTATGCAGCCTTGAATAGACGCTCGTCGCATACTTCTCTTTCATATGTTGTTCGGTGGGAGCATGACCTGGTAGTGGTTGTGGATCCGGAGGACTGGAATAGGGCCTGGTCGCTTGTAGCTAAATGCTCTTTTAATACGACCACGCTGGAGAGGCGGCCTACAAGGTGTTTCGTTGGTATTGGGTTCTGGCTCGTTTGGCCCAGGTCAGTGGTGGGCAACCTTTTTTTTTCAACTGAGCCAAATCTCGCCAAAACCACGATTGAAATTTATTTTGAGAGCCACATTTTTAAAACTGAAAATACATAGGATGGTACACTGTTTTTAGTTTTAATAAGTTTTTATAGTAATTCATCCCCCATATAGTAATTCATCCCCCATATAGTAATTCATCCCCCATATAGTAATTCATCCCCCTATAGTAATTCATCCCCCCTATAGTAATTCATCCCCGTATAGTAATTCATCCCCCATATTAATTCATCCCTCATATAGTAGTAGTAAGTAAGTAGTAAGCCAAGTCCCCCCTGTGTCAATTCACTTACCTTTGCTCCGCGCGTTCCTCTCGCCGTGTTCCCGCGCCGTTCCGGTCTTCAGGGCGGACTGTGAGAGGAGCCTAGCAGTCATCACGCTGCCCCGCCTACTCACATCCTGACAGCCAATCACTGGCTATCAGGATGTGAGTGGCAGCGAGACTGGCCAATCATTGCATTTGAGCGCGCTGCCCTGGCTGTTTTTTTTTTTTTTTTTGGATCACGCTGCAGAGTCCCTGCCGCCCGAGAGGAGGGAGCGGGCGCCCGGCACACAAGAGCCGCATTAAAGTGTGTAAAGAGCCGCGGCTTGCCGACCACTGGCCCAGGTGAACCCTGCCTGCAGTGATTGATGCTTTCGGGGTTGTGGCCATCATGGTGATGTATTGCATATCTGGTGGTCATGCCCGAGGCTGCTTCATTTTTGGTTCTCGTGTGTTTGGCCTCCTTTTCACCTTGTTCCATCTTTCTATACAACGGGATGCTTAGTATGCTTTGCTTCATTGTCCCATACCGGGCCTCTTGGCTCACCAGCAGAAGTTGGCTTCCTATTTTGTTTTTGTTGGCCTCTAGAACAATTGCTAAGGCCTGGAAGAGCCCGTTTGTTCTTCTTCAGGGGGTGCGGGATCGTATGACCGCTATGATGCTCAATGAACAGATGTCGAGTATCTGCAATGACTTGCAATGTAAATTCTTGAAAATATGGGAGTTGTGGTTGCAATATACCTTTCCCACGCTTCCCCTGGCTAGCCTGGGGATGTGATGTTGTTCGACTTTGGTTGTTCTTGGATCCCTGCTCTTGGTTTGGCTATCCTATTTTCTTTTGTACTTCTTCCTTTCCCCTTTTTTTTTTTTTCTCTGTTTGCTTTGGTGTGGCAGTGGATAGCTGCCTTTTAGTCTGAGTTATTATCAGTATTATATTTATGTTTTGTTATGTAGGTGCCATTGATGGCCCCTGTGTGGGGGTATCTTTTGCCCTGTTGGTGTTAGAGCACTGATTTCTCTAATTTCTAGTTCCTCTATGTGCAATTGATAGCCCCTGTGTGGGCGTGATTTGTTGTTCCGGTGTTAATTGTTATAAATTATTAAAAACCATTGAAATACAAACCAACAATCCTAGTGCTGCTAGGCGGAAGTGCTAACCACATAGTCATAGGCATGAAATAGCAGCTGCTTGTGAAGGCTTAATCTGACTATCAAATTATCGGTAATTTAAACCGTGGTTAAATAAAACGTGCACAATCATATCTTTTGAGTATAAGAACCATGCAATGAAGAAAGCAGACACTCCAAAATGCTGGTCTTCTGTTGTGAAACAATAGTACCATCTTGACAATCCTCTATTACCTTCCCCAAGTAAAAACCCTTGCCAGTGGTGTTTGCTGCTAGATATACAAATCTGCTCAATATGGAAAAATGTTCCAAACATATAATGATTATCTTATGTATGCGAATTGGTATTTATATGTGTGCTAGGTATAACCAAAGACTGAGCACAAAAAAATTAAAATATGTGAAGAATATGCATTAAACAACGTTATTCCAATGGAATATTGCTTGTTAAACACTTTCATATATTAATTATATCTATATTTAACAGATGTGTCACTTGGCCCTCACCCATGGATACCAGGCTGTGGTCTTCAACCGTCGCTGTCAAAATGGATGCCCACTCAGCACAGCCAAGTTACAGCCATATGGTGATCCTAACGACCTTCGTGAAGCCATCCGATACATACGTCATTGTCAGCCATCATCTAGACTATTTGCCGCAGCTGAAGGCACAGGCGCTGGACTTCTGCTTTCCTACCTTGGCGAGTGTGGTTCATCAAGCTATATCACAGCAGCAGGCTGCATCTCCCCTCTATTTCGCCTGCAGGACTGGTTTGAAGCTGGGTGCCCTTGGCTTTGGCAGTCAGCAATACTCTTGTATCAAAAGATGTATTTAAGCAGGTAAGTTTATGCATAGGCTACACTGTGCATCAAGCGTATCTGTTTTCCCTAACGTGGTATTCCATTTGTGGGTACATTCTGGCAATCAACCTGAACTAGACACTATCTTCTTCCATGTCTTGTGGGTACATGCTGGCAAACTGAATTGTAAACTGTTTATAAGTGCTATGGCAGCAACAGTTCAGTTTAGGAACTCCTAAAATGCACTTTTTTTGTAGATGTTCTAAAGGAATCTCACTTTTCCTTTTTTTTTGTTTTTTGTAAAATTGATGCATGCATGATTGCTGGTAACAACTAAAAGTGGTCACAATACTTGACCAATAAGGCAATGTAAGAAAGACAATGTACAATATGTTACTATTAAGCAAACTAGCAGTGTTGAGTCTAGGGATGACCATTAATAAGCACATGAATGGATGGTGGTTGTTCTAACAAGTAGCGGGCAAAGGAAGGTGGGGAGGCCTCAAGTATTATATTAGGAAATAAAACTCAGTTGATACCATTGAATATATTGGTAGCACTGCACTTTAGATTAAATATCTACAGACAAGGATTCCAGGTAGATTCACTTATGTAGGATACCTTTCCCTGCTACAAGGAATATGATCTTAAGGATTTGTTTGCAGACTCTTTCAAATTTTAATACCTGAGATGTTGAGTTGGCCAAAAAGTGTCTATTCAGGAGTTAGAGGTAGTTAATTTACTAAGAATGTGGTAGCATAATGCACTAAAATGTTTAATCTTGGGTCACGACCAGAAATCGCACAATAGGTTTGCATCTGAATGTCCACGTTTCAGGCAGCAGGAAGAGCTTTGGCTTAGGAGGTAGGAGTGATGCGAGGATATATTAGAATGATGAAAATACGAAGCATCGTTTTGTGGTACATTGTGACATTCACTTTTCTTGTTTTAACCTTCCCTCACTAAGACCTCTTGGTTTTACTGCCAAATTTCCCCCACCCCGACCATGCACCTATAGTCTACCATACAGCCAGAAGGGGATGCTTTGCGTCATGGTAAATTTGATGTGGCATGTTGAGTTGACAAGAGGCACCATCCATCAAACTCATCCATTCAAGTCAATGGCAAAGGGCTGTAACCTGGAGCCAAACGCTTGGCTCATGGTTGTGATGCATTAGTCCCATTAGGAATAAAAAAAAGAACAGGCACTCATGAGATGGCAGGATTAGGATTGCTTCAATGTGAACTTAGCGTTAGACCATTCAGATCTATTTGCTACATTGCAGGCAAAATCACATCTGCACCACTTTTTCCAGTACAGCACACCACGAAACACTGTTTTGTGTTGTGAGAGAGGTATGTTGAGGATAAATGGTGTTCATGTGTTGGGGTGGCCTTCAAAGATAATGGTACTGCATTACCAAAACTTACCTTGAGACATATAAACAATTGAAAGAGATATATATTGATTCACATTGCGCAGGCATGGTTCACTGCAATCACTTACAGGATGGCCAGTCTTGGGCAGTTATGGCCAGCTGACACTGAAGCAAGTGCATATAGACAGAAAATGACAGAAGCTATAGGAGATTAGCAGTGATGCAAAGGGAGAAAAAAAAAAAGCAGTCGTATACGATAACCATACCTTATCAAGCCAAATACCACCTAACTAGTGTTTACATCTACTAAATGTAGCCATTCTTTTGCATTCTGTACAATAAAAAATAGACTTCCTTACTGCACATAGTGCCAAGTCTGAAAAAGATTGACAAATAAACCATTACTTTTGGGATGTGCTTTTCTTATGATGGTTTCCATCTGTTAAAATAAGTTTGTTATAAAACTGGAGTTGCACGAGCAAGGAGTGAGTTCTTCCTGATTTGCTGGGGTTTTTTTTGCCTTCCTCTGGATCAACTGTGGTTGTAGGATTATAACTTTTTTTTTTTTTTCTATGGTTGAACTGGATGGACTTTTGTCTTTTTTCATCCAGACTAACTATGTAACATACACTATATTGCCAAAAGTATTGGGACACCTTACAAATCATTGTATTCAGATGTCACAATCACCTCCATGGCCACAGGTCTATAAAATCAAGCACCTAGGCATGCAGACTGCTTCTACAAACATTTGTGAAAGAATGGGTCGCTCTCAGTAGCTCAGTGAATTCAAGCATAGTACCGGGATAGGTTGCCACAAGTCCATCCATGAAATTTCCTTGTTACTAAATATTCCACAGACAACTGTTAGTGGTATTACAACAAAGTAGAAGCAACTGGGAACAGCAACTCGGCCACGTAAAATGACAGAGCCAGGTCAGCGCATACTGAAGGGCAGAGTGCACAGAAGTTGCCAACTGTCTGCAGAGTCATTAGCAAAAGACTTCCAAGCTTGGTGTGGCCTTCAGATTCGCACAACAGTGTGTAGAGAGCTTCATGGAATGGGTTTCCATGACCAAACAGCTCTACAGCCTTACATCACGGATGCAGTGGTGTAAAGCACGCCACCACTGGACTCTAGTGCAGCGGAGGTGTGTTCTCTGGAATGACAAATCCCACTTCTCTGTCTGGCAATCTGATGGACATGTCTGGGTTTGGCGGTTGCCAGGAGAACGGTACTTGCTTTGTGCCAAGTGTAAAATTTGGTGGAGGGGGGATTACGGCGCAGGGTTGTTTTTCAGGGGTTGGGCTTGGCCCCTTTGATCCAGTGAAGGGAACTCTTAACGCATCAGCATACCGAGACATTTTGGACAATTTAATGCTCCCAAGTTTGTGGGAACAGTTTGGGGATGGCCCCTTTTTGTTCCAACATGACTGCACACCAGTGCACAAAGCAAGCTCCATAAAGACATGGATGAGCAAGTTTGAGGGGGGAGGAACTTGACTGGCCTGCACGGAGTCCTGAACTCAACCCAATAGAACACCTTTGCAATGAATTAGAGTGGAGATGGCGAGCCAGGCTTTCTCGTCCGACATCAGTGCCTGACCTCACAAATGCGCTTCTGGAAGAATGGTCAAACATTCCCATAGACACACTTGTGGACAGGTCCGAATCCCACACTGCATCAGTGTGAACTAAGCTTAATGGAACACAGATGAGGAAAAAAAAACTGACAGGGGTTATAACCCTGCCTTGCTCTATCCAAAATGAAATAAAGGTTTGTCTTAGTTATACTTTTACCTGGTATTATTCAATGCTAAAAAAATTCAGGTCTGATCAACTTCTGTTCCTCAGGCATTGTGTTTTATCTGCAGAGGATAAAAGGACACTCAGAGATGAACACAAGATAGCGGAACTTGAAAGTGTATATATCTGGAACTTAAATAACAGACTGGCAGACTGTGGCCCTTGAGTTGAGGGGCTTTCACACCACACTCCTCTTCCCCCACCCTGCAGAAAATTCTAATTCTAAGCACTTCTTTTGCCTCCAGCCCTCCACACTTGCATCTACCATGGAGAAGAGAGATGAGCACAGTACACAGAAAAGAGATGAGCACAATACACACATCCTTATTTCTTGCCCTACAGACCAAAGTGGTGGAGTTCTCCTTTAGACAGATGCATATGTTCTCTTTAAAAAAGGAAGAACTAGTTGTACATGCTTTGATGCACATCACTGATTTCCTAGCAGTTATACATTTCTGACATCAATGACCCAGTTTTGAGCTGTTGCACAAAGATCATGCTTTGCGGTATTTTACCACACAAAATACCACAGCAGAAAAACAATACAAACAATACAATGACAGCAGAGATACAAGACAGCTGCTGTGATAGATAAAATATACATAGCTCAGCTAAAAAACAAAATAGTAAAGTGTTTACAGATCCAGGTAAACTTTGATTAAATCTGTATTTGGTCACCTTCCAAGCTTCTTACAGGCGGTGTGACCCCACAGATTGCTAAATGTATGTCCACATAACAAGTGACGTAGTTACTGTGAGGAAAACAAGGTGCTTTCCGGGACCAAACTTTTCGGGGGGGGGGGGGCGCCACCCCCCTGCTTTTATAAGACACAGCTTCCCCAGCATGCTCATCCGAGCACCCTGCTTCCCCCGCCAGCTCTCCTGCAGGTTCCCTGCTCCTGCCCCTGCCTGCTTGTCCGATTCACCTGTCCCCAGCAGGAGCACACCATCCCCTTGGTTGGAGTTGAGGAGGACCTGGATGCCCTGGCCATCACATCCTCCATGCCAAGGTAGTGCTCTATGCACCATCCTCTCCCTCCAGAGCCGCTCTTCGCCCAGAGCCATGCTCATCACCATCGCTATGGTTACGGGGGCCTGCACAGGCCAGTGCCTGGAGAGGGAGACCACAGGCTGAGAAGGCTGCTATCAGATCAGAGGAAATGGGCACACGGCACATCACAGATCTTTCATGACACAGCAGCTGTCATTTAAACTTCAGAATAGTCTTCAAGGAGCATTTTTCTCTATCATTCCTAATCCCTAGCTTCCCGATATACCTGTATAGGCGAAAAAACCATTCTTGGTAGTGTCCATTATGGCAGAATCCAGGCTTGGCATCTTCAGGGAGGACTGTGAGTCCCAGTAGTGCCCCTACATAGTGGAAGGCTCCTGATGGCAGGTGGTCTTGAGTGAACTTTGGCATCAGCATCAACAGGGAACCCCAACTGTGGCAATGGCAGACAACCCTGGACTCCGAACCACTGTCCCCTTATATTGACACAGAATCCGTGGGTAGGACCCAAAAAACACGCCAAGAGAGAGCCCAGGAAACACAGTTAACCCTAACCCTCCCGTCCGGGGCAACACCTAGCCAAACTACACATAGGCAACCTGACTACATGTCACCTGCAGATTACAATTAAATTAATTCCATGCTCAAAGCTGACTATACAGTGTGCATTATACATGGATGTAAATTTATATATTATTACGCTGTATTGCGTATTATCTAGACTGTATATAGTTAGGTTAAAAAAAGACATGTCCACCAAGTCCAACTAAGAGAAATAAATATATTAAATTCATTAAAAACCTGCATCCACAGAACACCAAACCCATAGCTGATTCAATAA